ATTTTTAAATTAAGTTAATGAAATTATCATCTTATAAAATAAGAAAAAAATTTAAAATATTACAAAAAATATACTATATTATTTAATTAAATTATTATGTAATCGGATTTTATTTTGTAATCAGGCGGTTCGGGCAGTTTAAAGGTAAAATTACAAACCAAACCAATTATATCGGTTTTAAAATTTTATAATCCAAACCAACCCAATTTTATATCGATTTGGTTTAGGTTTTTTATTAAATTGGATCAGTTTAGGTTAGATTAATCGGGTTGGATCGGATGTGAACACCCTTAATTCACACTATGATTATAAAACTTCATGTATTATATAATATAAACTATATAAAAAAATAATATAATTATGGATTTTCCTAACTTATGTCCTTATATAGAGCATAGATTAATGATATTTTATCATAAATTTATATTAAAAAATATAAAAATTGATATTAATTTTAATTAGTATCATTGTCACATGGATGAATTTAATTAAATGATTGATAAATTGAAAGTCAATTTTTATTTTTCCAATATAAATTTATGATGAAAATGTGTATTTACTATATTTTTAGGACACAAGTTAAACTAATCTAAATGTCATGTAGAATTGTTGTTAGCCCAAATGATATCAACCTAAGAGGAGAGTGAACTAGATTTTTGAAAACTTATGCTAATTTCAAAATAAAAACAATGAACAATCACATCCAATCACAAACAAATAAATTAAGGTGTGAAAATTAAAAGGATAAGGAAAGAGAAAGATCAAACACGATAATTTATAGTAGTTCAGTACAACTTAATTGTGCATATTCTACTCCTCAGGCTGCGTCATTGAGAGGGAGTTTTGGGTTTAAAAGGCTTTCCTTCAACTTCTGCATGTAGAGGCAATTATTCTCAATAACTTTATTAGCGCTATTCACCTTCAACAACTCAATCTCTTGTTACAGTTTCTCACAACCCTAATTCTATATGCCATTAGTATGATTTTCTAGATCTAACAAGAATCTCTAACACTCTCTAACTTTTGTAAAGAAAGAGAAACTAATATTCGTGATCACTCAATTGGCCAAATAAGAAAGCTAATTAAGGCTTGAAATAAGATGGAAGGCTTGAATCCTTTTTCTCAAGAGCGCACAAGGGTTTCTCAAATCTACTTTAAGCCTTCTCAAGAAGTCCTTTCAAACCCTCATGTTTAGATCTAAATCACAACTAATTGTTACAGCCAAAAAAGGAAAGTCCTCGATTTCATTTAATTACAAGATTCGATAGAAAGTTCTGTAAACTTGTTAAACTTCCCAACAATCATGAATAGGGCCAGTGAATGAAAATGTTCTAGATCAATATAAAAAGTTTTGGAACTTATGTAACAGAGACTTTGACCTAGGGTTTTAAAACTTATGAGAATGTGTTGAAACTTTTTAAATTTCTCTTATTATTTTTTTTGAACAGCAAAAAAATTCCATTACTAACTTGAGTACAAGGGGTACTCAAACCCGTTTACATGAACAAAAAATGATCCCATTAGTGTACAAAAATAATCACGTCAGTGTTACTACCTTCTTTCAAACCCTTCTTACTTCGCTCTAATAAGACATGAAGCAGGGTTAATTAACCAGTATGATAGATTGAAATAACACTTGTCTTTCCTACCTTCAATCCATGCAAAAGATCTTAATTGAATAAGTTCAAAAAGTTTGATCAAGTTTACCTCTGAATTGTCAAAAATCTTTTTGTTGCGTGCCATCCACACAGACCATATTACTGCATTCCAAATGTAGTCCCACCCTTTTCTTTTGTGTGACCTTTTGGTGCATTCCCTGAAGTGTTTAAACGTTTTCCAGCATTCTTTTTGAAGTTCTACTATGATGCCCCACCAGTTTGCACAAGCCTTCCACAACCATCTAACTATTTTGCAATTTAAGAATAAATGATTGGAGTCTTCTTCCTCCTCTTCACACAAAACACATTTGCTTTCATCCCTGTCTTTGATGACTCCACATTTAAACAAATTTAGCTTGGTTGGAATTCTATCAAATAGTACCTTCCAATTGAATGCTGCAACGTTAGTTGGGAGACTAGGATTCCATACTGTCTTGTACATTTTTGCTTCCTTTGCTTCCCTCATTTGTTTTGCTAATATTGCATAAGCTGTTGCCGTTGAGTATTCTCCATCAATGCTGTGTACCCACTCCCATCTGTCTACACTCCCTGGGAAGATTTTCACTTTCTCAATCATTTTTTGAAGTTCTTTTGCAGCCTCATCTTCCCATTGGTATAGATGTCTTCTTCATGTTAAGTTCCATTTCCATGTGTCGTTGTGTGCCCTTCCCATTTGATGGCATTCTTTGTCCTTACCTGTAGACAAGACATACAATCTAGGGAATTTATTAGCCAAGCAATTCTCCCCGCACCACTCATCCCACTAGAAGCTCACTCCTTTCCCCTTACCAACCTTAATCCTAAAACCCTCTGTCAACCATCCAGCATTCCCCCTGTCACCAGCATTGAGATTTTGGATGTCTCTCCACCATATTGATCCTCCACTACTACTATCTCTCACCCAATCCAACCAATTCCCTCCACTCTCCCCATATTTACCTATTATCACTTTCCTCCATAACCCTTATTCCCTTTTTGCTAACTGCCCCCACCATTTACCCAACAACGCCAGATTGAATTTTCTTAGGTCCTTCACTCCTAGACCTCCACACTCCTTTTTCATGCATACCTTCTCCCAACTAACCCAACTAATTTTTTTCTCCTCCCCACCCACCCCATAAAAAATTCCTACATATTTTATCTAAAGAGTAAGGAATTCCTTTGGGGATTTTGTAGGCTGACATCAGGTACACAAGTAGGCTAGACAACATAGAGTTTAAGAGCGTGATCCAACCTCCCAGAGATAAGTTTTGACTTTTCCAGCTAGCTAGTTTCTTTTTAAAAGAGTCCACTTGTGGTTGCCACATTGCTATCTTTCTGTGATTCCCTCTGATTGGAGTTTCCAAATACTTAAAAGGAAATTCTCCCTCTTTGTAGCACAGTCTATAGGCCATCCTCTCTTTCCAACCCTCCTTAGTCCCAACCCCCATTATCTGACTCTTGCCAAAGTTGATTTTCAGTCCTGATGCCAATTCAAAGGTCCTCATGATGCATTTGATTGCTTGTATATTTTCTTTCGAAGCCTCCCTAAAAAATAATGTGTCATTGGCAAATTGGAGATGTGAGACTGACAAATTTTTGTTTCCAATCCTTACTCCTTTAAATAGGTTTTTCTCAATGGCAAACTGCATTTACCCATTTAGCCTTTCTACTACTAACAGGAATAAGAAAAGGGAGAGCGGGTCACCTTGTCTTATTCCTTTGCTAATCGGGAATTGCTTTGTTGGGCTTCTGTTCACTAGGATCGAGATCATACTTGATTGCAGGTATTCCTTTATCCAATTTCTCCAAGTAATTGTAAATCTCGTCCTCATTAGCATATAATCAATAAAATCTTAGCTAACCTTGTCATATGCTTTTTCAAAATCAACTTTGAAAAGAAAGCTCTTCATTCTCTTCCTTTTTGCCTCGTTGATCACCTCATTTACAATCACCACTCCGTCCATCAACTGTCTGCCTTTTATGAATGCCATTTGCTGCTCCCCTATGATCTTGTCAAGTACTTTTTTGACGTGATTAGCTAGTAGCTTAGCTAGGATCTTTGTACATAACTTCGATGAGTGATATAGGTATGTAATCTTCAATTCTTTGGGGGGTTTTCAACCTTTGGAATCAAAGCAATGAAAGAGGAATTAGAGCCTCTTACTAGCTTGCCATGCTCATGGAATTCTTGTACGAATCCAATGACATCCTATTTTATTTCTTCCCACATTGCCTTAATGAACCTAAAATTAAAGCCATCTGGCCTAAGGGACTTTGTTGAGTCACAATCCCATACTGCATTTTTAATATCTTTTTTTGCGAAAGTGGCCATAAGGAAATCGTTGTTCGTTTTGGCTAACTGTTTGAATCTAATGCCATCTAGCTTTGGTCTCTGCCACTCTTCTTCTAAGAATAACCCCTTGAAATAATTCATTACTCCTTCCTTGATCTCATTCACACCTCTACGTTGTTCTCCCATAACTTGAATGTTGTTGATTTCATTTCTTCTCCATTTGCCTTTCACACTCCCATGGAAAAATTTTGTGTCTCCTCCTCTTGCAGATCGTTTCTTTGGAACATTCCGTACAACTCCCCTTTGCTACATGCCACGTCATCATCATCAATCTTGTTCTCGGTTGAAATGCCATTCCCCTGTTCTTCCTCTATTGCATCTTCACTAGCATAATCCTCCTTCTCACTATCCATCGACCATGATTCTTGTTCTTCTAAATCACTATGGAAGTGGGGAATGAAGTCTTGTTTCAAAGAGAAGAAACTATTGGCAAATTCCTCTTCCGAGAACTTGATCTTGTACATGGACTCGTCAATTTTGATTTGTCTCATCATTAAAATGGTATTCATAATCAGGGTCGAAATTAAGAACCTGGCTATGTCAAACCTTTTTCTTTTACTTGTGCTATCATCTAGACAAATGAACTTGCCCCATGAGCACCCCATTGAAGCAAAGAATTCGGGAGCCCAAACATTTAAAGGTACTCCTTGACATTTGATCCAAACGAATCTTTCATCTGTGACCAAATCTGGTGACCAGGGACACACCTTTTCGAACCATTGTCTCAACCATTCTGATGCTGATTCTACCAGGTCTTTCAATTCTTCCTTATCTTCGCAGTCCATTAGTACCAATCTTCCCCTCATCGCTCGAATTCGGTAGGAAAAATACCCTTCCATAGAAAATTTTTCCTGCACGTTTCTAACCATTTAAACCGAATGGGTTGTTCCCACATAACAACCCTCCAGCCATGCGGTGTCTTCTTGATTGGTGTTGTACTCAAAACCAGCCTAGGAATCAGTCATTCCTTTCTTTTGCCATATTCGCCTAGTCAGTTGCTGTGCCTTCAAAACTTCTGCATAGCTCCTGTTTTGCACTTGTGGTTCCGAAATATGTCTGGTTTTTGTTCCCTTCCCATTCTGCTGGATGTCTTCATATCTTGGAGAGTTTAACCATAATTTGCAGTCCCCAATCCAGATGTTGTCTAACTTTCTTTCAAGCTCTTCTCTATCTTTCAAATCCAAAAATCTTACAAAACCAAACCTGCTACTATTTCTACTTCTTCTCATTGGACTGTAAATGGCATAGACCCTCCCAAATTTCAGAAAAGTTCTCCACATGTCTGCATATGTCCATTCATTTGGGAAGTTTGTGAAAAAATAGGGTGTCGCTTGTTTATACAAGCCCTTATCATATGAATCGCCTAACTTCCTTTTGGAAACCTATTTCTGATCATACTGTAACTCCCTTTGTTGATTTGGTAACATCTTCCTTTGCTGGTTTCTTTGTGAAGATCTAACATGCTCTCTACTCTGTGTCGTCCTCCTAGCCTGTGTTTGTCGGTCGCCTCCTCTCACTCTCTCTCTACCTCTCTCTCTCATCTCTAGTATACATCAAATATTAGCAGAACTCTCTGTGTAAAATGCTTTAAATTTCTCTTATAAACTTAGAAGGTTAAAGGCTGAAAATGTTTTAGAACTTGATACCAAGTTTTGGAACTTTAGAGTAATTTCAAATTTGCAAGAATCTTCATGAAAGGTAACACAATCATTGAATGGGAAAATCTATTAGACTTTTTAGATTTGAATAATGCTGTAGGGTAAGGCCACTTAAAAATGGAAATTCAACCTTTTATTATCAAAACAATGAAATCTTAACTTTGGTTATTTGAAAATGGAAAGTAAAAAGCTAAAAATTCACAAGAACGCCTGTTTCTAAAATTGATTGTAACGTTTTTAATACTAGTATCATAGGGATAAATGAAAATAAAATCATTCTTAAATAAATTGGGAGTATTAATTAAGTTTTATATTTGTATTTTGATTATAATCATTAAAATTAAGAACAACAATGGTAAGGTTTCAATGATAATATAGTATTAAAGGAGTGAATACATAAATATCACATGCAACTCATAAAAAAGAGTCAATCATATAATGACATGTACATAATTATAAATTTATAACACAACGTAACATTGTTTTTTTCCTTTAGTACATAAAATGATAGGTTATATAGCAAGGATACCCATCCCCTTCGTTTAATCTTTCTTCACTTGTCTTAAGATTTAAATTTGAGATTTTCAATTTAAAATCTTAAGTTTTTAAACCACTTGAAATACTCCATTTGGGCAACATGACATCATAAGCGTAACATTTTTGACAAAAAAAAAGAAAAAGAAAAAGAAAAAAGAGTGAGGAAACATTGCATCTTTTCGCTTTTTGTGAGGGTTTGATTGGATAGGCCCTAAATGATTTGAGCAGTCTTTGCATGTAAATTGAACGGCTTTTTTTTTTTTTTTTTTTTTTTTTT